CAACAACACCAACACCAACACCAACTCCACCACCAACAACAACAACGACGACCGCAATAACGACAACAACAACAACAACATCACCAACACCACCACCACCACCACCACCACCAACAACAACAACAACAACAACAACAACAACAACAACGCCAACAACAAGAACACCACCACCACCACCACCACCACCACCACCACCACCACCACCACCACCACCACCACCACAACCAGCATCAGCACCAGAGTCGTCAACACCAAGAATGAACAGCAGCAACCTCACCTGTCAGACAGGCATCATCTTGGACAGCACCACACGGGTTCCGAACAAAGTACACACAGCAGCGTGAAATCTCAAAATCGCGGAGTGCCTTGGCACATACTGATCCGGTAGAAACCGACCCATCCCGTCATCGGTCCAGGACATTCTGGCGCTTTGCGCCCGCAGAGTCCCGAGTCGCACACCTCTCATCACCCAAATCCGTACGCCCATCAACTCCTAGAGAACGGTTGACGTTTGCATACAAAGCAACACCTTCGCTCAGAAAGGTGGACTGCCCCCAGGGCCTTATGTATGCCGCGCTACGTCTGCAATAACCTTCAACTAGTCACCACGAAAGGAATCCACAGAAGAACCGTCGCCCAGATAACGGACTCTAGCTCCTCGACCTTCGAGCCGTCATGGCCAACATCTTTGAGGCGCTGTTCCATAAAGTCTGTGAGGTCGATAAAGCCTCGGGGGCAAGGGGCTGAGGGCATTGCTGCTTCATGCACTGTAGGCTCAGTAGGCTAAAACATCATATGTCATTCATTCTCGGACTCTTGCAGCACAGAGTCCACCGAGGGGCTTAAAGGCTTAAAGTGCTTCAGAAGGGTTTGAGATTGCTTCAGAACTCATGCTCGAAACTTTTGTGTGGCCGGTGCTGTGTTACGATTGCTTTACAGCACCGCTCTCCCCCTCTCCATATAAACGAAGTAGCTGACTAAGTAGCTTCCAAGCCTGTCTGGCCGTGGCATCGGGCGAGTGACTCAAGAAACTCACCCCCAAACCAATGCTCTAGTCAAAGTCGCTGAGTTCGCGTCTCTGAGACGTGATTTACATCTAGCATATGCCGCAGACCATAGTCCCCGAGGGTGAGTCAAGAAGCCATTGCAAATTGCTGGTAGCTTAGCTTACTGCTGGCATGTTTCTCGAAATCTGGAGTTCGATGCTCCCTCTGTCTGCAGCTCTTCCATGCGGTGATGGTGTCGATGCAAGGGTTTGCACTGATGCTCCTGCCTCCAGACCCGCAGTCAGTCAATGGTGCCCGGAAACTGTCCATCTCTGAAAAGCTGATGGGCTCCGGCCAGAGCTCTACCCGGAAATCACAATTGGGTTATCTCGCCCATGGACTGAATGAGAAACTGTCTCTCTTTACCCAATATATATATATATGTATAACTAACTGTTCGCTTGCGATCGAGGGTCTTGGGACGAGGTCGCAGACTTCTAAATCATCACCTTGGAGATGAGCAAATTTCTGGAGTGAGGGCATCAAGGATGGCATGTTCGGGTGTAAAAGGGCTGGCGCTGTGTCCGACGAGGGACCACCGGGTCGACCAGAATCAAGACATACTCCCTTTCAGGAAATCTTACATGGACCACGCCAAGCAGCATGAGCATGGGTCTGAGCTGGATGACGATATTGAGCATGATTCTATGGTGACGAAGAGGAGGAGGCGGATGATGACAAGTGCGGCGATGCTGATGATGATCACGATGCTGGTGATGATGACAGGAGGGTATCAACAACAATGGCAGTGGAGAAGCTTCGGCCGACATAGTCGATGCTCTTCATGGTGATCATGCTGGTGATGACGCGAAACATGGTGATGATGCTAATTTCCACCCAAGCCGAACTCCCAAACTCAACAATTTCGATGCTATTGAGCCCGGCCTCTGTGCAGTTCTTCTGATTGTAGTGCATCAGAGATGCCTTCCGTCACAAGTTGTACTGTCACACTTCAAGCTTGGAGACGGCATGTTGATACTCTCGACACATCAAAGAACTGGACTGAGGTCAAGCAAATCATGGACATTTGGACCATGCTGTGCTTTTGTTCCTGTCCACGATCAAAACACCAGTTATACCGGCGAGGAACGAAGTCCAAACCCAACCCAACACTCCCTGTGGGGTTCCGGATGCTTGATGATGCTGCATCTACACTAGGCAAGCTCATAAATGGCATACATCTCGTAAGGCGCAACACTTTTTCACCAGAAGCGCATGTATTAGCAGACACCCCGATAATCCGGCCATGGACACGTCTCACACTAACCTCCCCATTCCCGTCGCCAAAGCCTTTATCGAGTTGAACCCTGGCAATCCTAAGGCTGCCGCATGTCGTGGCCGCTTCTCTTGCCCAGCCAGCGGTGTTGAACAGCGACCGCGAAGATGCGAGAAGTGAAGGTGGTAGCTCCTCGTGATCATCACCATCATCACGGAAGCAACCCGAATCAACCAATCCCAACTGCAGGTGAATTCTGGGACTTCACTGACGCTCTGAAGCTCCTGCTCCGGAGCCCCTGACGACTCGCGCTTCGGAGCTTCACTGACGCTCCGAAGCCCCTGACGACTCGAGCTTCGCAGCTTCACTGACGCTCCGCACCACTCGCGCTTCGTAGCTTCACTGACGCCCCGGAGCCCCTGACGACTCGAACTTCGCCGTTTCACTGACGCTCGGAAGCTCTGACGATCGATTCGAGCTTCGGAGCTTCGCTGACGCTCTGACGCCTGTGACGACAGGCGCTTCGGAGCTTCGCCGTAATTTTTGAAAGCCGAACTCTTAGGAAACGTGAACTCCGAGAAAAAGAGCCTTGGATGTATAGGGCGCCCATGGGCGCCCCTGACTTTTTGAAAGCAGAGCTCTTGCGAAGCTTGAACTCCGAAAAAAAAAAAGATGGACGTAGAGGGCGCCCCTGATTTTAAAACATACTCTTACAAAGCTTGAACTCGATGATTCGAGTTTCGGAGCTTCTGACGACTCGAGCTTCACTGACGCTCTGAAGCTCCTCACGACTCGAGCTTCGCTGACGCTCTGAAGCATCTGACGACTCGCGCTTCCGAGCTTCACTGGCGCTCTGAAACCCCCGACGACTCGAGCTTCACTGACGCCCTGAAGCTTCTGACGACTCGAGCTTCGTTGCTGAGGAGCACAACATCTGGAAGACACTCGCGCACGATGTATGATCTGATCCGTCCTCCATTGTTCTCCGGCCACAGTCTTGCGTAGAGCCATCAGCCATGGTCATATGCGCCCATGACTTGACAAGATAAGATTCTTCTCTTCGCTTGCAACTGCTGCATCCGCTGACTTGTCACAACAACTTTAGTCAGTGCTCTCAGAAGGAGCCTGCCAAGAATCAGAGGACAGGATGCCGCACAATGCCACAGAAAACGCTGCGCGTCGAGTGGTCTTATTCAACGTGCCCTGTGTATCGACCACAATGTATCGGCCCATTCGGCTGCACAGGCACATGCGAGTCTATCCAAACCCAAGCAGTGTGGCAAGACTCTTGGCCACTATGGAGTTCTCAGATTGCAAGATATTGTAAGGAGACCTTGATACATGTTCCTGAGTCGCCCGCAACCGAAGGGAATGCAGCTTGCTGAGAAAAGCTGATATTTACACGGCTTTGCGCAGAGATGCGTCAGTCCCATGTGTGTTTTGCTATCTTTTAGGGTGGAAATCATGCTTCCGGCACAGTCCCGCGCACATTTTTGGGGTGATGGGGTGGTTTGGGGTTCCCACAGTTGTGGCTCCTGTACCGGTCTCTGAAGCTCTAGATTCTCGAAGCCTAGGTACTCGTTCACTGTTTATCATGTCTGCTAGCTGCCACCGGTCTTCATAAAGACTTAGGAAAGTAGGTGGTCTTTTCATTTGCGAATGCCGTAAGAGTGCACATCGAGGGTTCGTCGCCAAAGGGATCTCTGGACTTGTGCAAATCTACCTCCCTTGCGTAACCTTCATACAACATGCCCAACATGCAGGAGCCGGCATTCAAGATTGCCCACTGCGACTGCAATAATAAGTCTGTCTCGGCACTCCCCCATCCTCCCCCGGAGTCTTCTTTTGAACGTGCCGATGCAGGCGCTTCAGGAACAAATTCGACAATCCCACTGCTTTCAAGGACCAGACGCGCCATGAGACCCTCCAAGACAGGAGTCCACTGTGTAAGATGGCCAAGTACTATATTCCAAGGCATAGCTGGTCTGCAGTGGTCAACAGACGTAGGTGAGCAGTTGCGTCGCTTTCACAGGATGCGGCATCACAGCGCGTGGGGCTGCAGGATCAGGATCGGAGTCAGAGCTGTCTGGCTTGAGCTGCATCTACAATGTCACCCCAGAGAAGGAAGCCTCTGCCTGGGCTCCGAGCGCTTGGCCCCCAGAACATGCAGATGGCCGTCGAATCGTCGAAAGCAGGCCGAAACTGTGTTGCTTTGCTGATGCTGGCTCGCCAGCCTCTGGGACATGTCACACTCGATCGTCAGCACCTCGCCAGCCAGACAGCGACCGCATCGTGGCCATAAGGAGAGAAGAGGAATGCAAGCAGATCGACAAAAAGTTGGCATGTAAATTGCGCAGCAAGGCACAGTTTGGACCCACAGCCACAGCAATCCTTGTGCAGAAATCTCGATAGATCGTGCTGGAAACAGCTTAGCCAACAGCGTCAGGGAGCACCTTAGGGGCACACATGATCGATGCCGTCACTGCAACACATATGGGATCAATCATTTGTGGGTTTCGTTTCGGCAACAAATGTAAGGCAATGTAGCGTTAATAATCTGTGCTTCAAGACCAGTTCCAGACCAGAACACAGAAGCCGAATGATAAATCTGATCCCGCCTACGGCTGTAACAAGAGTCGTCCTTGAAGACTGGATCAAGCCCAAAAGACGGTAGAGGGGCCTTCGGCTTGGGTTGAGGCGGGAAGGGTTTACCGAGACTTCAGTGCGGCCGCTTTGGCACTAACGGATCTGCGGCATTCTGCGGCTAGGTCAACAAGTTGCTGGATCTTGTCTCCTAAACCCTAAACCCTAAACCCTAAACTCCTGAACAAATTAGATCCTGAACAAATTATAAAGTGTATGGCAAGGCACTTGCGAGCTCGAGAGGCAGCAAGGAGCTCCGTCGCTTCAAAAGGCCTCGCATGCCACCTCCGGTGTTTCACTCGAGTTCCTTTCATGTCTCATAAGGCTTCCCGGATTTACTTGAGGGTGCTTCTCTGTGGGTGTTTGGGTTTCAAATTAAATTGTTGGCAGAGCTTGCGAGACCCGGGCTTTAGCACCTCAGACTCGGAGTCTTGAGCTTCTGCATGTAAATGTACGTGGATGGAGGCCTGCGATTGTCTAGAAAACAGACGCGACGGCCCTTGTCATCACGAACACCAGGCATTGGCAGCGTCGGATTCGCACCACCGCGCTTGGGGAGTAGGCTTTGGCGCAGTGGTGGAACTTCCAGCAACTCTAAGCCTCTATTACAGCTACTGCTCAACATGGCATGTGTAGACGGAGACAAACTCTGTAAAGGTGTGGGGGTGAGAGGGAAATAAGGTCTTTAGGAGGGCGTGGGCTGAAGGGTGAACAGCAGCATACAGTTTGAAGACTTTCTCCTTCATCCTACACTACCCCCCTCCCTTCCCCAGGCCCCCCCCTCCCCCCCACAAGCGATCAGCCTGAGGCCTGCTGCAATAATGAGCTTTCTCCGGCTTCTCGCTATCATTGACCATTACCACAAGGAAAAAACGAAGAAAACAAACCTCTGCCGGGCCAAAAAAAGGCATTATAGACGTCGCCGAAAAATGCAATCAAAGAATCAGCCGCCGACAAAACGCATTAAAGAAACCACCTGCGCAAAACCCAGTGCCACATTACTCCTACAAGCAAGTTCAGACTCACGGTCGCAGTGCTTGCTGTGAAAAGCGTGTAGGATGTGTGCTGAAGTCGATAATCTACGACCTACGCCTACGCCCAAATTCCCGGCTCTGCCTGTCTTTTCTACAATGCTGATGCAGCAGCTTTTCGGCCTCCAAGCAAGTTACCATCACGACAATCTGCCGGTGCCGTAAAGTTGGGCCGCCAAACCTGGTCTGAGGGAACCAGATTTGAGGCAGTCAATGTCTTGTGCATTCCTAGTTAGCGAAAACCCAGCAAACACCCCTTTAACCGTGCCAGATTCAAGCAGGGTTTCGAGCTCAGGTGTAGTGGCAAGGGGTGGAAAGCTCCAGTTGAACTCTGAAACTTTTGAAGAAAGGAAACTGGTCTGCAGCTACTTGGGAAAGCGTTGAAATGCCGGTTCGTGTTGGATGTTCAGCCGTGCTTGATTCAGATAGCTGCTTCAGTGGAAAGCTTTCAACTTCATTCATTGACAATGCCATGCAACGCCTCAGAGCCGGTCACAGCCGGTCACATGGCGCCAACGGGTAGTGCAAAATAAAGGACCCTGGGCCAGAAAGGGGCAGCACGAAACCCAGCACTCACGGGGACTTCTTCGGCGGTCCCGGCCCCTCCGCCCAACCCCAGCTGTGATCGAATGTGGAGAGCTGCCGCTCATGGTGGTGAAAACATGATGCTACTACTAATGGGTCCGCATCCTGGAGGCATTATCGGGCACGGTCGGGTGCCCAATTGAGAGCAGTGGTCGCATAGGAGGGGACATCGAGTTGAAAGAGTGTGCAACCTCCAGACCTTGTAGGTGGACTTCCATGGCTGGCACAGTTCAGCGAAAGGGTCGTCGTTGGCAAAGCTGAATAGTGCTTGAGACGACAGCAACCAGCCGGGCATGCTATCTGAGGTGAGGACAACAGCAATTGCGCCCCGAACGCTCGCACTGACACCACTGCTGGTGAAAAGACGACCCAGAAGATATCCGATTTCCTTTGCCGATGCGTGAGCGGTGTCAGTTGCAATGGTTTTTTTTGCATTTCCAAAAGATAGCAAACTTATAGAAGAGGAGTGCTCGTTCCGAGGGGCCACAATTCTCACAGCGAAGTTGGGCTGAGAATGCTGAGAACACACGGCAAAGATTACCGGCCCGAAAACGCCGGCCGGGCATGATGGCACGCAGGTTTCCACTCAAAGGCGATGCAAAGGACCCATCGCTTCATGCTGCTACCCCGGCCGTGATTTCCCCGGCGACATTCACAGGCAACGCCACAAAATCTTTTCAGCAAAACAAACGAAACATTAATGCTGAATCCGTCTCAGTCGAAATGGGAGATTTGCTCCTTTGAGAATGTAATACGAGGGCAAATCGATATTTGTTTGCACGAACAGTAAACATGATACATCATGCCTTGCCCAATCTTGTAGCTGCCCCGCAAGGTCATATGGTAGTGCTGGCTTAATCAAAGGGAGCTTGGCATGCCTCGGATCTCTCTCCATATAGCAGCATAGCATGTAATTGGAGTTGAACTTTGGTTTGTGGATGTGTCCATATTTATAATCTCCTACTGGAACCATAATTAGATCTCTTCCAGTTCCTGTAATGTACATGTTGTTCCTTTGTTCAGAGGGCTCCTTGAAGAACATTGTTGAAGGTGCCACGTTAGACATACCAGCGCACTCCCTCCCTCGCTCCCCCGCTCGCTCCCCCCTCTGTTAAATATAACCATCCCTAGAATGTTCCCAATGAGCATCATGCATTATATCGATTGCTATGATGCCGCATGGCATTGGCTCAAGACTGGACAGGACTGGCTTGGCCGCACAAAGGAATGTCTGCTTGACTGTGTGTGTTACCGGGAAAGTGATTGATCTTGGCTGCCCTAGATTTTTAGGACTGTGTAGAGGAGATTTTGCATAGTAGTGGAGCTTCGGCACTGTAGACAAGGAAAGAGTGAACGAGACTGGACTTCGGGGTGAGAAGAATTGGTGGTGAAATCAAGCTGTCCCCACCTCCAGTGTACCACGATGAACTGGAGAATTGGGAGGACTGGGCATGGCAGTTGTAGCGAAATGTTGTAAGGATCCAACCGAGTGGTTGATGATGAATTTTGTGAAGACACAGAATAATCAACTATCACAAACCACTGAAGGTGCCACAAGAGCGATTGTTCGCAATGAGGACACGGAAAATGTAATTGGCATCGACTGCACAAGCAACTCTCGCTGCCAGGAAGAGCTAGAGCCACCAATCTTTTGAATGAGATCATTGGTTTCTGCTTGCGAAATGACCACCTGGAGCGTGACCTGCGTGAGTTCATGATATTGACAAACAGACATGAGAAGACGACTGGCAGGCCACTGGACAATGACCTGTTGATCGCGCTGTTAATGCAGAAGACTGTTGGTTCATTGCACCAGCATGTGCGGTTGAATGTTCGCAGCATCAATACGTTCAATGAATCTCTGGAGATTGTTTGCGCCCCAATCAAGAGCAGACACCTGACTGCGCCGAGTAATAGGACTGACCACCAAGGCCGAGCCGACATGGACATAGGAACGCTGAAAGGAAAGAAAGGATGGAAAGGCAAAGGAATGAAAGGCAAAGGAGTGCACAAAGGGAAAGGAAAAGGCTACAAAGGCAAAGGAATGTACAAGGGTAAAGAAAAAGGAAAGAGCAAAGGATACAAAGGCAAAGGGGAAGGAAAAGGAGTGAAAGGAAAAGGCAAAGGACAAGGATGTTTTCTATGCGGTGATCCAAATCACTGGAGCAAAAATGCCCCAAAGGAGGAAAGGGTAGACTGTCAGCTGTAACGGAAGAGGAAGGACAGCAGGAAAACCAGCAAAATGAATGGAACCAGGATGGCGAAAGGTACTATGATGATTGGTGGTCTTGGGATGACCATGACTGGAGTCAGGAGTGGAGCTGTTCGCTTGACGGTTGGTCGGGTGACTGGTTTTGGTCTGATGACGACTGGAGCTATTGGTCCGATGACTGGCCCTGGAACATGCAAGATTGGTGGAATGTGGAGCCACAGAGGTCCGGATCTCCGGTCAATTTCCGTGAGAACCCCGCCAAGAATGAACCGCTACAGGATGTAGCAGCAGTGACTGTCGAGATCCAGGATCAAAATGCTACCAAACCTGTGTAGGGACTGTTCGAGGTGCAAAGCCCAGATTGATGACAAATCTGTTTGTTGGAGCATGTCTTTAGATTGGTGCATTGCGTGCCGGAGTGCCACCGGCTGCTCCGAAGCATGTTCCGCAGCTTGATACAATGGGTTTTGGCAGAATAATGGTGGAGATTCGTTTCGAGCTGGATTGCCGGGGATACTTTTCGACAGTGGAGCGCGCGCGAACTGTTTCCCGGAATGTTTTTCTCCGGACTACCCTGTTTTGTAGTTGAATGAGAGTGCCCCTTCGCTGCGAAGCTTGTCTGGAAAGCCACTGGATGTGCAAGGTCGAAGGATTGTGCTGCTTGGCCACTTCGTTGAGCGTGCAATATTTTACGCAAGCACTGGGATACCCTTCCACTGATGATTGTGGCAAGACGGCTGTTGCAGGACTTCTGAAACGTGACGGCGAAAGACTACATAGTCCTGGTCCTGGTCTTGATTGATCCGACGGGGAATCGGTCCCATCCCGCCCCGATTGTGCGTCAAGGAGCACTGGTGTACTGACGCCCACTGTCATATACCTTATGCCGTGGCAGATGCGGCACCACTGGCAACGAGTTGTCTCCCTGATGTGTCGTCGGAAATGGAGGTTGCTTACGTTGCATGGAGTGACTGACATGCATGAATGGATTATCTGTTTCAAATTGGTACCCTGATTGCAGCGGCACAAGGAATTAAGGAATCAGATGGCTCCCGTTGGGATACATGGGAAGTGAGTGAGCCCGAGTTGAATTTGATCGGGCATGTGGAAGTTTGGCGAAGAGAAATGCCTGCCCCGAGGATCAAACTGGCGAATAAGTCGTCGGTGCAAATGTCGAGATTGACTGGCGATTGAGTGACCTATGACCTATGAGAAACACAAAGATGGGTCGTCACTGTCAGGGATGCGAATTTACTGGCACAGGCGACTACCAGGCCGAATGACCAAGGAGGTCAAAGTCAAAGGACGAGTTGAATTTGGATGGAAGCACAGGCCTCAATTCAGGCATGCGAAGAAAAGTGAACCTCGTCCGTACGACCCACGGATTGGGGAGACTGAGGCCCAGCCGGTGTGTTCCCAAATTGTCGAGACGAAGTCAGCTGAACCATTGGCGAATTAAGGCCGGGGACAGGCAGATGAAGAGCCAGAAGAGCTGGATCGACAAGTTCGAGTGAATCGGAATGTTGAGGAACACGAGCTTGAGAATGCCCTCGAAGATGAAAGAGTTGCTAAGTTGCTTCTTCGACTGTTCAATCTCGAGGATCCTGAGACTGCAGCACCGGGGATTTCCGATCGATGGTTGTTGCTTCCTCGATATTGGATAAGAACGCATCATGAGCGGCGCGACTGCTACAAGTTTGAACGTTTCGACGCAGCCGCTTCAGGAAAAATCGACAACCCCACTGCTTTCAAGGATGAGACGCGCCGTGCGACCACCCTCCAAGACAGGAGTCCATTGTGTAAGATGGCCAAGTACTATATTCCAAGGCATAGCTGGTCTGCAGTGGTCAACAGACGTAGGTGAGCAGTTGCGCGCTTTCACAGGATGCGGCATCACAGAGCGTGGGCTGCAGGATCAGGATCGGAGTCAGAGCCGTCTGGCTTGAGTGCATCTACAATGTCACCCCAGAGCAGGAAGCCTCTGCCGGGGCTCCGAGCGCTTGGCCCCCAGAACATGCAGATGGCCGTCGAATCGTCGAAAAGCAAGCCGAAAGCGTGTTGCTTTGCTGATGCTGGCTCGCCAGCGCTGACTACTAGCTCTGGGACATGTCACACTCGATCGTCAGCACCTCGCCTGCCAGACAGTGACCGCATCGTGGCCATAAGGAGAGAAGAGGAATGCAAGCAGATCAACAAAAAGTTGGCATGTTAATTGCGCAGCAAGGCACAGTTTGGACCCGCAGCCACGGCAATGTTTGCGCAGAAATCTCGGTAGATCTTGCTGGAAACAGCTTAGCCAACAGCATCAGTGAGGACCTCGCGAGTTGTCTCCGTGATGTAACGTCGGAAATGAAGGGTGGCCTGGATCGCTTAAGTTGTGTGGA